CACACAGCCACAGGGTAATGGGCACAGCCACAATCACACAGACACAGGGTAATGGGCACAGCAGCCATCACACAGCCACAGGGTAATGGGCACAGAAGCTACCACACAGCCACAGGTAATGGGCACAGAAGCAATCAGACAAGCCCTGCCTTCACCCTTCATAACCTTGCCTTGGGAACAGGCTTCAAACATTCTTCTACCTTTCAGGCAACAGTCCACCCCACAGCTCCTTCCAGTCAAAGATAAGCTACTCAAGGCCCTGGCTCTGTGGGAAAAACCAGGGAGTAGATACAGAAAATATTTCATTAGATTAAGTCCTTCCTTCAGAGAACTAATAATTGACACAGACTTACCATGGAATGCATCTTGGGATATTTAATTGGACATGGGTTTGAATCCTAGACCAGCCATTTAAAAGTAATGTGATTCTGTCCAGGTGCAGTGGCTAGCACTTGTAATCCCAGCTACTTGGGGGGCTGAGGCAGGTGGATCCCTGAGGTCAGGAGTTCAAAACTAGCTAAGGTAACATAGTGAGACTCCCCCACCTCTGAAAAAAGAGGGGTGGATAAGGGATGTGATCGTGGTCAGATTGCTTCTCCAAGCCTTCCTTCTGCAGCTGTGGGGATAATACAGACTTCCTGTTATGACTCTGAGGATCACGTGATGTATACCAGTCGAGCCCCTGGTAGTGGGTTAGTACTGCTATCTCCTAACCCCATCTCCTGGGGATGCTGTGATGGATAAATGAGATACAGCTACACTAAGAATCAGGTTACAGAGCCTGATCAGGGCTCAGTCAATGTTGGTTTCCCCAAACCTTCTCATGGTTGGCAGGATCAGAATCCTGTCACTGTTCGAAACAACAAAGGACATAGGTTTTTATCACGTATGTTTCCTTTCGCCCAGGAAGTAAAACGAGGGTACAAACACTGCTCATTATTCCTTATTTCTGCATCCTCTCCCTTTCCCAGGATGGAGACACACTGCTCATTATTCCTCACTCCCGAGTCCTCTCCCTTTCCCAAGATGGACACTGCTCACTGTTCCCCACTCCTGAGTCCTCTCCCTTTCCCAGGACCAAGAGATGCTTCTTCTTCCTCAGTCTCTCGTGCACCTGAGAGCTCACAGTCCCCATTTTACCGGCCAGACACCAGCAGAGATAACACGGATTCCAGGAGACTAAGGACTGTGTTGCCCTTGCCACTATGCATGGGTGCAACCTCAGGCCCAGCACTGAGCACTCCCATGTAACCCACGTACGGAGGAAATCCATCTCAGCTCGCAGTGGCTGAGGCCGAGGCTGCAGAGGGATCTCGCTGGGGTTACGGCCGTTCTTTCTGTCTCAAGAGGCTCTCCCAGACCCCAAAATACGGCCCCTCCTGACGCTGCCAATCTGATTTTACTGCATTATCAGCTTCGTCGGGCCGATGCCTGGCCGTCCACGCGCGCCTTCCAGGCACAGGCAGTCCGCGGCATTTGCAGCAGTAGCGCCAGGACAGTGACGACTGGAAAACCCGCCGGCGCTCGGTCAGGAACGGCGCCCAGCGCGCGCCAGAGCGAAGCGCTAGGGCTACCGGGTGGTTCCGCGCTCACCGCGCCAGCCCCGCGCCGGGTCACACGCGGGACCTCCCGCATCACGACCACCTTGACAACACCGTTCCCGCTCAGCACCGGAACACGGAGCTGCAGAAACGCTTTGCCCAGGGTGCCCGGCCGCCATTCAGCTCCTGCGAGCTGGGGCCGGGGCCGAGCCCTCCCGGTCCTGCTGCCGACAGTGTCGGGGAGCCGCGGCCCCAGCTCTCCGGACGCCCTCCCGCCCGCTCCGCGTTCCGGGCCTGGCCCCGACCACCCCCGGTTCCGACGCGCGCAGCCGCCCCGGTAGCCCCGCGCGGGACCAGGACGTCCACGGCCTCCGTGAAGAGTCGCGCAGCCCTCGGAGGGGCAGACGCACCGTCCTCCCCCGCTCCGCCGAGACGAAGCCAGACAAGACGAGACACGTGCCCTTCAGGAGCGCGGCCGTCCCGGCGCTGAGGGAGCCGCGCTTCCACAGCACGTGTGCCGGCCCCCGAACCCCCGACAAGGCCACCCGGGACCCCACATCCGCCCCGACGCGGAGGACGTTCCGCCTGGGCCCATCAGCGCGCGCAGCGGGAGGAGACGCGCCAGGGAGCACCGCCCTGCTGACGTGCGGCGGGACGCAGCCCGGGGCAGGGAGCGCGGCACCCACCTAGGTCCATGGCGGCGACGCCGGCAGCTGCGCGGGGCCGGCTCTCCTCCTCTTCAGAGAACGCTGGCGCGGCGCGAGACACACGGCACAATGGGCGGCGCAGGCGCCCAGGCAGCCGCGCTCAGGCCCCGCCCACAGCCTCCCGCGCACACGCAGTCCTCAGGGAGGCGCGCGCAGAGCCACAGCACCGCCTCCCCACAGAGGCCGCCCGCCCGCTGTCAGGTACCTGGCGTCGCTCCCGGGCCCGTCCGCAACCGCCCCGCTTCCGGGTCCGGCTCGAGCCCCGGCCCCGCATTCACCCGCATCCGGTGACCCCGGGCGCACCCCGTACACTGTGAGCCCCTACCCAGCGCTTCCCCCGGGCCGTCCTCCACCCAGCGCGGCCGCCCCACGCGCGGCTTCCTACCGCCCAGCCCCGCCCCACGCGCGCTCCTTCCGCGTGCTGCTGACGCGCCGCCCTTTGGGACGGCCGCGTTCTGGACCCGAGGCGCTTCTCACGGCTGCTCCTCCCCAGAAACACCGTGGACAGACCCAGATACTGGCCCCGGGGCCTGCACGTGTTCTTCCACGCGCCGCCCATCCCCGTCCCCCGAGATGGAGGCCTGACGCCGGCCTTTCTACCTCCCCACCTCCGGCTTCCAGCACCCGGATCGCCCGGAAAGGCCCGGCCGCCTCCCGCCCCATGTGCCAAGTGGAGTTCGAGCTGGCGCGCGCTGCCCTCAAGCAGCTGAAGGGCCCCGTGAGCGACCAGGACAAGCTGCTGATCTATGGCTGGTACAAGCAGGCCACCCGGGGCGACTGCCACCTCCCCGCCCCTCCCGCCTCCGACCTGAAGGCCAAGGCCAAGTGGGAGGCGTGGACCGCTAACCAAGGGATGTCCAGGATGGACGCCATGAGGGCCTACGTGACCAAAGTGGAGGAGCTGACCAGGAAGGAGGCCGGCTGAGGGCTCCTCGGAATGGAGTGGATCCCTAGACCTCGACGGCTGAATGGAGAGTAGCTGGGTTAGCCGAAACACCAATAAATCACTGATACTGTACGACAGTGACCGACTGCTGTGAGAAAAGAAACTCGGTGACTGGGTGCATGGGAGGCGTCCAAATACACGGACCGCGAAACTGTGTGGCTTTGGGTGGAGTTCCCAGCCTTCCTATTCCTAGAGCGTATTGGTGGGGATGGTGTGCTGACCCCCGATCTGAGGTTGGCGAGACCCTTCTCCACTGATGGCCTCTGGGGAGGCTGAGGCCCAGCCCTTTACCTCTTCAAGGGTGATTGACGAACACCCCAACAACTACAGAGGGGAAAGGGACTCTGTCCTAAACACTGAAGCCCCCACTGGAACACAGAGCCTAGGAAGTTCATGTTCTAGGGAGACCATGCTTTCCCCGGTGATAATGTGGTGAGACAACTGAGACTTCAGAACACAGCAGCTGAGAAACAACAGAGCCGATGGTGTCAAAATCCTAGGCCCAGAAAGGCTCACGGAAGGCCTCGCAACCCAAGTGTTCCTGGGACTACTCTGTACTTAACCCTGGTTTCTGCTTAGGGGATGTCTGTGGGATTTCCTGCAAGAGCACAACACACCCTTTGACCTATGCAAGTGCCAGTGTCTGGGCCCACTCCTGTTCATGATCACGGAGGCCTCAATCACAGCCACCGCGCCTAGTGGCTGGAGTATGGAGTACTAAATGGTACCCAGAGAAGCAGGTCTACAGTGGCGAGGGATTTCCTGGTACTTCTTCCTTCATAAAAGCAGTTTTCATAGGTCACGACATCAGGTCAGCTCCAGTTCTTGCTGGGACCAATAAACAAGAGAAGCAACAACCACCAAGACTTCAGAGGACAAAGGAAACCAAACCTCACTGTGCGTCTTCAAGATCTGTTCACACAGTTGCAAGAAGTTGTTGTAGACAAAGTACATTACTTAGGAATGAAGCCCACCCAGGACTTCACAGTGACTAAAGAACTATTTCCGGTAACTGTGGACTGGGCGAGACCCAAACTGTAGAAAGCAGTGCTGCTCTCTCTTCTTTGGTGAATGTTATCAAGAAATTCTGATACACTTAGGATCATGATACACGTTAAATATAAATTAATAGTAAAAATAATACATCTTGGCTGGGTGCTCATGCCTGTAATCCCAGCACTTTGGGAGGCTGAGGCGGGCAGATCACCTGAGGTCAGGAGTTCCAGACCAGCCTGACCAACATGGAGAAACCCCATTTCTACTAAAAATACAAAATTAGCCAGGCATGGTGGCGCATGCCTCTAATCCCACCTACTCAGGAGGCTCTGAGGCAGGAGAATCTCTTGAATCAGAAGGTGGAAGTTGCGAGGAGCCGAGATTGGCCAGCCTGGGCAACAAGAGTGAAAATCTGTCTCAAAATAATAATTATTATTATAATACATCTTGCTCCAAAATACGGTGACAAGCAGCTGTCTCTATAGCCAGACCACTCTGTAAATCACTGAACCTAGAAAGTAAATATGTGCCACAATTAGGACAGCAGAAGATAACAGTAAGATAAAGTTTTAAAAGAGAGAGAGAATAAAGATTTATCTATTTGTATTTGCTTAAGGACGGGTTCCCCATAGGACACAGGAGGAACGGGATTGATGGGGATGGGGTATACTGTGAAAGGAAAATCTATCTCAGGATCAAATTCACTAAGCCAAAGGGAAAAGTTAAGCTTGGAACCTGAGTCATGGAACCTGCAAAAAACTTTTCCTTTTGTTCCTAAACAGATAAGCTACCAGACAGAAGGCCACATATCTCCCCAGGTGGTCTCCCTAACCTGACAATGTAAATTAACAGCTTATCTTTATAGGTAACGGACAAAGGCAACACCAGAAACCATCCCTCACCAGCCCTGAGACAAATGTAGATGTACTGAGCTGAATGCATAACTCCTCACTGTAACATGTAGATTTGGTGAGTGCTACATGTAGATGTACTGAGCTGACTGCATAACTGACTCTTCCTCTGCCTGCTCCTTGCACTGTAACATGTAGATTTGGTGGGCGCTAAATGTAGATTTGCTGAGCTGAATGCATAACTGACTGTTCCTCTGCCCACTGCTTTCATTGTAACATGTAGATTTGGTGAGCGCTAAATGTAGATTTGCTGGGCTGAAGATAACAGACTGTTCCTCTTCCCCCTCCTTTCACTGTGACACGTAGATTTGGTAAGCGCTAATCAAAGTCTCACAAGAATGTAACCACTTATCTCCCTACTACCCTCCTTTATTTTTCCTTCCCCTCTTCCCTCCCCCTTCCTGCTCTTTCCCTTTTAAATACTGAAGCCCTAAAATCCTCTGGAAAAAGTGCTGGCCACAGATCTGTGGTTGTGTCTCCTTCTCAGGGACATCCTCAACTTTGGCAAAATACACCTCTACATGGGTGAGGCTTGTCTCAGACACTTTTCTGGTTCACAATACCTTTTTATATTGTTTTGATTTTTGAACCATGTGACTCTTACTTTATATAAAGAGGGAGAGGCAAGGGTACTTCTTTATTGATCATTAAAGTCAGAGTAAATTTCCTATTGATTTCCTCTAAGGTAGGGGGAGAACTCTTAGAACAAACGGAAATTTCTCACCTCTTACCCTGAATGTCAATGGACAAGCTGGAGGTTTCCTGAAAACTCTGGCTGCTGAATCGCAGCGGCGCTGAGTGGCAGGTCACATGAAGGAGCACTGAGTGTCGCTGGGTTTGTTAATTCCAGTAACGTCACACAGACGTGGACTTCAGGCAGTCCTGCAGGCTAACCTAGGAGAGCTCTGGTAACACGGCCGTTCTAAATCTTTCTGGAGATTCAAATCAAGGCACCCTCGTCTCTACAAAAAATCGAAAAATTAGCTGGGTGTGGTGGTACGTGGCTGCGGTCCCAGCTACTTAAGAGGCTGGGGTGGGAGGATCTCTTGAGCCTGGGAGGTCAAGGCTGCAGAGAGGCATGATGGTGCCACTACACTCCACCCTGGGTGGTAGAGCAATGTCTCAAAAATGAAACACCAGCGTGGACAAAGCTATCTTTCTTATAGCCTCATTTTCTAATTGTTCATACTATCCCCTAGACATGGGAAAGTAATAATTTTAGTTTAAAATTAGTTTTTGCAGATCTAATGGGCATCTAAATCATAACTTTTAAAAATTACTGTTTTCTGGTTTAAAATTACTTGGCTGAACTGTGCAAAAGCAAGCTTCTGGATTCCTTAATAAAAAGCCAGAGTTGTACACTAGAGGGCTTTAGGATGAATAAAATGTTAAAACACTCAACAAAGCAAGATGTGACAGGCAATGAAATAAATAAAAGGAGGCCGATCTCCTAAAGCCAAAATGTCCCGGGGAGACCAACAGCATTACCTTTCACCCTGCACAGTGCCCACCGTCAGGCACGGTTGAATACTTAGGAGCAAAACGTTCTGATAATGCTAAAATACAAGACAGATAAAACGGAAACTAGTATGTTACTTAGTCATTCAGTACTTCTATAAACCACTTATTTTACTACAACAAACCTCAAGGGCCACATTATAGCAGCCCAATACACTGGGAAGAAGAGTTTCTTTTCACAAGGACAGTATTACCAGAGATGAACATTAAAAATTACTTAATAATCTCATAGGAAATTGGAAAACTAACGTACATTCTAAAGAGAAGCAGAAGTTTATCTGATTAAAGTTCATATAATTCCCCATGTATTAAAAAAAAAAGAGGCCGGGCGCGGTGGCTCAAGCTTGTAATCCCAGCACTTTGGGAGGCCGAGGCGGGTGGATCACAAGGTCAAGAGATCGAGACCATCCTGGTCAACATGGTGAAACCCCGTCTCTACTAAAAATACAAAAAATTAGCTGGGCATGGTGGTGCGTGCTTGTAATCCCAGCTACTCAGGAGGCTGAGGCAGGAGAATTGCCTGAACCCAGGAGGCAGAGGTTGCGGTGAGCCGAGATCGCGCCATTGCACTCCAGCCTGGGTAACAAGAGCGAAACTCCGTCTCAAAAAATAAAATAAAATAAATAAATAAAATAAATTAAAAAAAAAAGAACCAATTACCTAGAGGAGGGACATATATAACTTGGTTTGCTTTGAAACTCACGATTGCTTCCCTAGGATACGGAATTTAAATTGAACGAAAAGTTGTAGAGCTGAATGAGAATTTTTCTCTCAGTGAAGGTATATAATATCACCCCTATAAGAAGATAAGCTGAAACTCAAACAAAATTTCCATGCCCCGCCCTGCCAGTAAGGGAGGACAGCAGAGGTTATGATTTACAAGTAATTCTTTATATGTTCTTTTGGAATCAGGATCCTCTGAGTCAATCCCTTCCAATCTCCTAAGTTTATTTTAAAAATCTGAACCACCACTTTAAATGATGAGACTTTGCGACTGGTGTAACAGCTTGATAGCAGAAGCTTACTTTCAAAAAAAATTTAATTATTCAATGAATACACAGTATAATTTCCAGTGATTGCAACCTATTTGTTGTATAGAACCAAACAAAGCTACAAGGAAACATTTTTAAAATCTTTTTTTCAGGCTGAAGAAATGGTTTAATCCATTTTTAAGAAATCTCATGTGATGTTCTGTCGGGATTAAAAATAGACACAGAAAGAGGCTAGCAGAGAGGCAGGTGAGCAGCAACACAACAGACTCTATCCCTTCTGTCTGTTTTCTCTGGACACTCAAAATGTAAAAGCAAGTAAGATGGGGGTGGTTAACCAAATCTTTTGGTCCAAGGAATAAAATTTCTTTAAAAAAATTTAAAATGTCAAAACCTGCCAGAGTAAGATATTAGAACAGCATGTATATCATCAGGTGCTGGGAATGGTACCATCACAAGCAATTAATTTGGATTTCCTGAACAGCTGCTCTCATCAAATCTACATGATTCTGAGTTCGTCCTAACCATCTGCAATCCCAAGCAAAGTCATGTTTCATGCAGCCGTCCTAGTCTGGAAAATAATCTATTACTAACCTAGTATAGTTATATAGAGAACGTGCAGCACCAGTGCAGATTACAGCAGGCATTCTCTAACTGGACTAATGATTGGATTTCATTTCTAAAATATACCACAGCTTCCAAAGACTAAAATACACAAAGCCTCCTTGCCTGTACGGGAAACAAATTAGAAGAGCACTTATCAGGAACAGACAGGTCAGGCCTCACAGGTACTGGGAAGTAATCACAAATGCTTGCTCCGCAAGATGGCTTCCATTAACCTGAAGCTTTAGGTTTACTGTGTTTAGCAAACCACTCATCACTTTTATCTGCTGCCATTGCCTGTAAAACAGAAAGAGAACATACGTTTATTCCAAGTCTGAAAAAGAAAAGCTAGGGCCCACTTTATACCTCACTATACTGCCCAAATAAAAAAATTAGCGTTAAAAAAAACCCAAACCCCAACGTTGAAAAAAAGGAAAGGAGAAAGAAAAAATCTTTTTAACATTTAAAGAGTATTAATCCAGTAGAGAGTATTACATTGAATGTGGCAGAAACACTGGTGAGTGCAGCATCTGTGCAGAGAGTCCCACCACTCACGGCACCCGGGCAGAGTGTCCCACCACTCAGGGCACCCGGGCAGAGAGTCCCACCACTCACGGCACCCGGGCAGAGTGTCCCACCACTCAGAGCACCCGGGCAGAGTCCCACCACTCACAGCATCTGGGCAGACAGACAAGAATCTTTTGTGTCACGAAACCCAGTGTGATAGTGAGGCCAAATATGAAAAGCTATGTGATGTGTAGTTATTAAGCCCGGAATGATTCCTTTCTCACAAGTCTCTTCGCAGCCTACTCTTCGGATGCTGGCTCTGTTTGTTTAGTTTTGGGCGCCTTGATTGAAAAGGAGGCCTTGAGCCATGCCCTGGGGCCACACCTATCATCACAGCCACTTGCAGGCTGAGGCCAGAGGATCACTGGAGCTCAGGAGTTCGAGTTCAGCCTGGTAACATAGTAAGGCCCTGTCTCCTACATATACTTACAGATACATAATAAATAAGTAAATAAAGAAGCAGGAAGCCTGAATAATAACGTTTTATTCCACAAGCATCCTTTTAGTTGCTTAGTAAGGACATTCATTTATTCAGTCAAAAACAGCTAGACACCATGCTGGGCTAGGGTGTGGCAGCAGAGACAGTCTGAAGCTCTGAGGACTGTGCAGAACAGAGGATGTATATAGAGTACTTAGGGCTGGGTACAGCGGCTCACTCATTTTTATTTATTTACATATTTTTAATATAAGTAAAGAATCTATCTGGGCCAAGCTTGAAGACTGCAACCTGGGAGCACAGATTCAGGTTTTCCTGAATATACACTCCCAAGTAGCCTTTATTTAATATTACAAAAAGACGAATGGATTTGAGGTAAGATAAATTATAGACACAATGAGTTTGATACGTGGCAGGTTTCCCAGGTGAAGAGGCTCACAGGATATAACATTGGTCTGGACAGAAAAAGTATGACACAAGAGAAAAAGTGGATAAGCTGGACTTCACCAAAATAAAAATTTCCTGTTCTTCAGAAACTCAATTCACAGCTGGGAAAAACGCTTGCATTTGCAAGTGACGAAGGAATGATGGAAAGCTATGGTACAGAGTCAAGGGAAGAGTCACAGAAGGATGAGTCCTACTCTCTCCTGCTGTGCATATTTGGAATTTTTAACTGTGAAATATTTAAAAATAAAATTTATGATAAAAAAAATGGACAAAAGACTTGAACATAAAATTCACAAAAAGAAGTAAATGGCTAACAGGCATATGAAAAGGTACTAAACATTGTTAGTCATCAGGGAAATAAAAATTAGGCCTTTGTGGGGCCGAGCTGGAAGGATCGCTTGTGGCCAGCCAGGGCAACACAGTGAGACTGTCTCTAGAAACATGAAAACATTAGCTGTAGCCCTAGCTACCCGGGTGGCTGAGGCAGAAGGATCACTTGATGGCACCACTGAAACTATTTCACATGTGCCCGAATGGCTAAAAAACCCACAATTTTACGTGCTGGTGAACACGCAGAGCAACTGCATCTCTCGTATACAAACAGTGGTCCGACCAGTTTCAATTACTGTCGGGCACTTTTTTATAAAGGAATAGCAATTCTACTCCTAGGTATTTACTCAAGAGCAATGAAACACATATCTATCAACAAGAAGATTTACACAACAATGTTCATGGCAGTCTTCCTTATGACAGATAAAATCTAGAAATAACCCAATGTCCACCACTGGAAGAATGAATAAGCAAATTGTTATATACATAAAATTCAGTTATCAGTCAGCAATATAAAAAAAAAACAAGGTGTGATATGCAATTACATGGAGCAATCTCAAAACTACATTGAGTAAAAAAAGCAGGCACAAAAGCACACGGAATGATTCCATTTGTATGAAGTCCAAGAACGGACTAACCTACAGTGACAGAAATCAGAATAGCAGCTGCCTCTGGGAGATGACGGTACAAACTAATTGCAAATGGGCATGAGGGAACTTCCTGGGAAAATGGTCTGTATTTTGTTTTGAGTAGTGGTTGTATGAGCAAACACAACTGTCAAAACACATTCAAATTCTACCTAAATTGTACCTCATCAACAACAACCACTTGTCTGAGCTCAGAAAGGAGTTAAAAACTAGGAATTAGGAAGCTGGAGCAAGGCTGAAGGTTGAAGTCCAGCGCAGGGGTAAGCAGAGTTGTAGGTCAGCTCTTGCCAGGGTAGAGGAAGAATGCAGAATGAGAAAACGGCAGAGTGGGACCATGGGTATAAAAACATCTGGGGATGAGACACAGAAGGAGGGGCCCGTGTCTGAGGGGAAACTGTCAGGGAGATGAAGATGGCAGGATCGTGAACTGCAAAGGAGATGAGAGTGCAGGGAGGAGGAGCCATCAGTGCCATGAAAGAGTGAGTGGAGGCCAGGTGTGGTGCATCACATCCATAATCCCAGCACTTTGGGAGGCCAAGATGGATGGATCGAGTGAACCCAAGAAGTTCAAAACCAGCCTGGGCAACAAGGTGAAACCCCATCTCCCATCTCTACAAAAAATACGAAAATTGGCCAGGTGCAGTGGCACATGCCTGCGGTTCCAGCTACCAGGGAGGCTGAGGTGGGAGGATCACTTGAGTCTAGGAGGCGGAGGTTGCAGTGAGCTGAGATTGTGCCACTACACTCCAGCCTGGGTGACAAGAGAGAGACCCCATCCTAAAAAAATAAAATGGGGGCCGGGCCTGGTAGCTCACGCCTGTAATCCCAGCACTTTGGGAGGCCGAGGCAGGTGGATCACAAAGTCAGGAGTTCAAGAACAGCGTGGCCCAGATGGTGAAACCCCTTCTCTACTAAAAATACAAAAATTAGCTGGGCATGGTGGTGGGTGCCTGTAATCCCAGCTACTCAGGATGCTGAAGCAGAGAATTGCTTGAACTGGGAGGTGGAGGTTTCAGTGAGCTAAGATTGCACCACTGCGCTCCAGCCTGGGTGACAGAGAGAGATCCCATCCTAAAAAAATAAAATAGGGCCAGGCGTGGGGGCTCACGCCTATAATCCCAGCACTTTGGGATGCCAAGGTGGGTGGATCATTTGAAGCCAGGAGTTTGAGACCAGCCTGGCCAACCTGGCAAGATTCCATCTCTACTAAAAATACAAAAATTAGCCAGTGTGGTGGTGCGCATGCCCGTAATCCCAGCTACTTGGGGGACTCAGGCAGGAGAGTCGCCTGAACCTGGGAGGTTGGGGTTGATGTGAGCCGAGATCGCACCACTGCACTCCAGTCTGGGCAACAGAGGGAGACACCATCTCAAAAAAAGGAATTAATTAAGCCAGGCATGGTGGCTCACGCATGTAATCCTAGCACTTTGGGAGGTTGAGGCAGGAGGATCATGAGGTCAGGAGCTCAAGACCAGTCTGGCCAACATAGTGAAACCCCATCTCTAATAAAAATACAAAAATTAGCCGGGTGTGGTGGCATGGGCCTGTACTCCCAGCTACTCAAGACGCTGAGGATGGAGACTCCATCTCAAGAAAAAAAAAAAAAGTAATTAATTAAATAAAGAACGAGGAGGAAGTGTCTGGCAAATCTGTCAGCTAAGAGGATGGCTGAGATTCTATTTTCCTTCAGGATAAAATTTATAAAGACTGTATTTCCTATACATTTCCTGCTTTAATATTAATTGTACATCTACTATTATGTCAGTAATTTGCCAAGCTTTATAATAAACCATAGCAATCTTATGAGGTAGAGGCTCTTATTTTCTGAAATTTTCAGGTAAGGAGACTAAAATTCAAAGAATTTAAGTAGCCTGTTGGAGGTCAGCCACATAGATATGCGACAGAACCAAAGAAAGACTGATTCATTCCTTTAATCATTCCACAAAGAATTCCTGGAACGTCCAGTACATGCCAGGTATGTGCTGGGAGCCGGGATCCAGCAACTGCTTCGAATGCTTCTGAGCTACCGAGTGTGAAGAGAATCTCAAAGTGGTTGCCGTATCTGGCAAGAAACAAAAGCACTTAACTGAGTAAGGGAACAAGTGCAGAATAGACTGGCATGAAACGGGTGGTGAGACGGAGAAACGGTGCGCACTCAGACTTGTAAAAGAAGAAATCTGGATAGGAGGCAGATATGGGGTCAGTGAAAGGTTTTTAAAAGCTGGGAGCTTCCAGTGCCTGTTTGCGTGCTGACGAGAGGAATCACTGGAAGAAGAGACTGATGCAGCAGAACGGAGAAGAGACACCTGAGGAGCTGCAGAGCGGAGGGGAGGGAACAGAAGCACCTCCACAGACAGCAGAGTAAGGACAGACCCAGAGAGGAGGGGAGGG